CCCCAAAACCCCAAAACCCCAAAACCCCAAAACCCCAAAACCCCAGCTGGATGGGAATCCCTTGAATAAAGGGACTATTTAGAACCGAAATGTACAAGATAGCTCACCTTGGTTCTTAATCATGTAGTACGGAATCTTGCTAAAAAGTCTCTAAATAGTCCAAATCCAATACTATGACCTATTTTGAGTAGTTTAGGACCTTTCAGAATTAAAATATACTACCAACCAAATTTTCATAGGTTGATTCAAAATATCGGTGACAGAAAGAATAGACGTCATCAGTTCGCTCTTCCTAAAACCCCAAAATTTCGAACCCCCCAAACTGAAGCGAGGGATTCCGACCTGGTAGGACTATAGTGAAAATTTATATCTTTATTAGCCAAGAATTAGGAACACCGAGGGATGCTTATTTATCACAATATTTGTAAGAGAAAAGGCTGTCCTTGAAGATGTAGCAGAACTTGATGAGCCTCTTCACCTCATTCTTTAGTAAACAACCAATCTGTGCATATAATGCAGTGGTGTACAAACCAACCATGAGGGTAGCGAAGGTCTTTCCAAACTTCCTCTTGTACGGTAGGTACCTCAGCTTCGCATCACTGAATCCTCTGTAGGCTAAGAAGCCGATGTATACCAGCACAAGGAAGGATTCAAAGTGGGATGTGATGTGATCCTTGAAATTCTTGAGCAAATTCTTTATTATCTTCTTCAGAGATAGTAGCTGCCTCTTTTTCTGAAAAACTGTGCTACAGAGCTCTCATTTCAAGGTCTCCATTGAATCAGATGAAATATTGGCACTAATTTTTGCCCATTGTTCGATACAGTTTGTGTGAACGAACCTAAGGCTGCCTTTACAACTACAAGGACAGACAAGCTTCCCTTCCAGACTTCCTTTGCTTTCAGTGTCGAAACAAATTCTGCAGATTGGTTCCTCGTTATCTGAAGATTCTGAATAGGCTCTCTCCATTTAGATTTTATTATAATTTATGATTAAAGACGATATATTTTTAAAGAGATAATTTTCGTAGAGCCTTATTCTATACTCCAGCTCCTCTCTGGGGTTTTGGGGTTTTGGGGTTTTGGGGTTTTGGGGTTTTGGG